GGGGACACCTGGATGGGGCCCCTGACTCGATATCTCAGTCGGGGTGAGCTCCCAGAAGACCGAGCTGAATCATGGAAGCTTCAACGAAAAGCAGCTCGGTACACCCTCCGGGTCTCTTGTACAAAAGGTCCTATCTCGGCCCCTGGCTACGGTGTATCGCCCCGGAAGATGGCGAGAGAATCCTCGAGGAAATTCATGAGGGACTCTGTGGTGCCCACGTCGGCTTCAGGATGCTCGTAAAGAAAGCTTTGCTTCTCGGATACTTTTGGCCCACCATGAGGATGGATGCCCAGGTCAAGGTTCTTCGTTGTCCTTCTTGTCAACACCATGCCCCTGAGCACCACCAACCAACTAATCTTATGATTCCCATCACCTCACCATGGCCGTTCGAGCAGTGGGGGACGGACATAATCGGTCCATTCCCCAGAGCCCCAGGCAACTATGCCTACGTGGTGGTGGCAGTGGACTATTTCACTACGTGGGTCGAAGCAGAACCCCTGAAAAGCATCACCGGAATGGCTGTTCGAAAATTTTTCTGGAAAAACGTGGTCTGTCGCTTCGGACTGCCTCGAGTTGTGATCTCGGATAATGGAAGGCAGTTCGCTGATAACCCTTTCAAGGCGTGGTGCGAGAACTTGGGGATTAAGCAACACTTCACCTCGGTGGGGCACCCCCAGGCGAATGGACAAGCCGAAAACTTCAACCGAACTCTCCTCCATGGCCTCAAGACCAGGCTTCACCGGGCTGGTTCATCGTGGATGGAAGAGCTCCCCAGCGTGCTGTGGTCCTATCGGACTACGCCGAGGTCGGCGACTCAAGAAACACCATTTTCCCTAACTTATAGGTCCGAGGCTGTCGTTCCATCCGAGTTCATCACGCCCAGTCCACGAATGGCTGCGTATGCTGCCGAAGTCAATGAAGAGGAGCGGCGAGTTGAACTCGACCTCGCCGAAGAGAAGCGTGATATGGCCGCGGCCAAAGTTTCGATCTACAAAAATATCCTAACTGGCTATTACAATGCTCGGGTCAAGAATTTAAGATTCAATCCGGGAGACCTTGTGCTCCGGTAGAACTCGGTTAGCCGAGCTGAGCCTCAGGGAAAACTCAACCCAAAGTGGGAAGGACCCTATCGTGTTGTTGAGTCCAGCCAAAACGGATATTGTAAACTAGCCTACCGAGATGGTTCGCGGGTGCCCCGAACCTGGCATGCTGAGAACCTTAAGTTGTATTACCCTTGAGGGGTACGTATTTTTATATCTTACTTTTTAAAGTTATTTCTCACTTATTCTCATTTTATCCTAAGTAAAAAATAAGGGGACAATGCAGTAGTCAAAAAGAAAAACTGAACTCAATTGAAGAAAAAAGGCAAAAATATGCAAGATTTTATTGAAGTTCGAAAAGCATAAGGCCGAGGTCATTCATGACCTCGACCCCCAATTACAAGAGCTAATGGCCGAGGTTATCTACGACCTCGGCCCATCTATTGCAAAAATAAACGCTTCTAAGCATCTCCTCCTCCGGGGTTCTGGCCCCCCATGGTCTCGCCGCCTGCCTCGGCATCCTGCTGTCCTTCCTCTCCTCCACCGGCCTGGTTCCCTTCGGCACTATCACCATCCAGCTCGAACTCCTGGAGCCACTTGTTGAATTCAGCTCGGACCTCAGCCAGGTCCTTTCCAGTCCGGATGCCCTCACCCACACGGTCGCATAATTCCTTGGCATCCTCATTGTAGTGCGAGGCACTCTGGAAGGACTCCAGCTGCTCAGGGAGAAGAAAGGGTGCCGCATCATTAATGGCCGACGTATACCCGAACATGAATCTCGGCCGAGTGAGTTCACCGAGGTCGCGAATGAAAGACTCCGACTTCCGGAATGCTTCCACGGCGGTGGCCCCGGCTGTGTCTATGGCCACTTTGGATGATTGCTCTTCCTGAGCTCTCTTCTCCCTCTCCTCATCAAGAGCAGTTATGAGGGAGTTGTTCGAGACCTCGGCCTGCTTCTTCGCCGCCTCGGCCTTGTCACGTGCCAGCTCGGCGGCCTTTAGTTTCCCTTCCAGATCGGCGATCTTCTTCTGGAGCTCGGCTGGTGACTCGTAAGTTTCTATAAAGTCCCCGAAGCGCTGATGCATCTCTGCAAAGAACGCCGTGGTGGAGGCCCAAAAAACCACGGCGCCCTGCATCAGCTCGGCTGGATTGAGTTTCCTGGCGTAAATATTGTCCCGTGGAAGGACCGAATTCACCAGGAGCTCGTGTGCAATTCGGGGGTCCTTGCAGCGGTCATTGACGTTGACATCCCACTCCGGGCAAAATTGTGCCCCGGAGTGCCTCTTGTCCTCCCCGGCTGCTAGAGAGGGCACGTGGTGGAGGTTGAATAACGAGTTCCCCGAGATGGAGTCACCCTGGACCACGGTCGCACCTCGACCCCGGCCCCGAGGTTGAGAGGCTATGGTCACTCCATGGGATGGAACTCCCACTGGAATGGACGCTTTGGATCTTCCCGGCGTGCCCGAGGTGTGCGACCCCTCTCCTATAATCACCACGGCAGGTTCGCGAGTGCCTGCCGCGGCAGTAGTCTTCTTAGCTGGCCTGGAAGAGGACTCACCAGCGTCCTTGCGCTTTTTTGCGGTTCTCTTCGCCACCTCGGCGTCCCCCGACGTGATCAGGTCAGAAATCTTTGTCACTGCATAGCACGAAGAAGAGTTAGTTAGAATTCAAGAAGGGTAAACTAAAAGAGGGAAATGGAAAAGTACAAGGTATGTGAAGCCTAGAAGAGAGGAGGACGGGGTGATCCGAGGTGATCCAGGCTCGGCTGATCCCGCATTTTACTAGGATCACTTCGGGGAAATCCCAGCAGTTGATCCTGAGGCCCGACCCTGTTAGCTTCACGAAGTTACGTTCTTCCAGTTTGCCTGGAGACACTTCTTTTACCGAGGAGGGAGGTCTCCACCAAAATCCTCTGGGGAAATCTTCGGCCGGGACGAAAATGAAATTCTTCTTCCACTCCTTTATTGAGCTCGGAGCGTCGACCACCAGCTTCGGAACTTTATTCACGAAGTAGAACCACCCCTTTTCACTTCCGCTGTTTTTGAGTGAGTAACAGCGGCAAAAGAGGTTGACTGTAGGTTCTATTTTCTGATGGCGGCAGAGTAGCTGGAAGCCGACGAGGACACGGATGGCATTAGGCATGAGTTGAGTGATTCTCACCCCCCAATACCTTAGGCAATCCCGAAGAAACCTCGTTGTGGGCACCCTGAGCCCGGCCTCCAGTTGATCCACATAGATGGCCACCCTACCCTTCGGTGGCAGGGCGGCGGACTGATGCGGCAGCGGCAAATAGATGCTGTAGTCCTTTCTCCATGGGTACCTGCGGATCGATTCGGCGACGGAGGCTTGTCCCACAGCACTGCTAAAGGTCGGCATCTGACCATAATCTAGTGACTCTACATCCGCCGGAGTGGAAGGTTCTTGCACACCCTCATCCCTAGGGACCTCGTTCCCGAGGTCATCGTCGTACAGGACCTTGGGATCGACTTCGATCTCCTCGGCCTGCTCTTCTGGGGTTCCTGCCTGGCCAGATGCCTCGGCTCGGTGGGATGCCTCGGCTTGATGAGTCGCCTCGGCTCGGTGAGATGCCTCGGCACCCCTTTCTCCGGTGTCGAACGAAACTTGCTCACTGGAAGGGTCGGGCCTCTCTGCCTCGGTGAAGTCAGGCCTCACCGTCTCTTTGTGTGTGCGAGCTGTTCTAGCCATTAATACAGAAAGAAGTGGACTTACTTAGAAGATGCGAAGTGAAGAAGTTGCTAAGAAAGATGTAGGTTGGAAAGATTGCCGAAGTGAAAAAGCAAATAGACAGAGCTCTGAGGTGATTTCAAATTTTGGTAAAGAATGGAACGGTGAAAAGGAACCCCTATTTATAGGCAACAGGGGGGGGAACCGAAGAGACGCGATCTTTGGGATTCCCTAAAAGCTCTCTCTCTCCTCATTAATGAAGGTGCTGCTCACCTGACAATCGATCGTATTGACCCGACGTTAAAGCTGCCAGCCCCCGTTTCACCTTTCTCCAGTCACATCTCCACAGTCGTGACGTGTCCTAGCCCTGTTCCGTGTCCCACACGCGTGTCAGCCTCGGGAAGTGATGATTTCGGGAGACCACGACCTCGCCCTTCCCAAGGCTGGGGGGCTTAGTGAGGAGGGTATTTCCAGCTCGGCTAGAGCTGTTCCGACTGCTTCGGCCTCCCACCATCGGGCCTTGACTTCGGCCCAGTTATTGCCTCGGCCAAGGCTTTCACTCAGCAAGCCGAGGTCAAGTATAATAACCTGGCTACCGGAGTTGGCCTCTGACACCTCTGACACTTCTGTTAAAGCTGCTCTGACAGGCGCCGCCTGACACAACTGTTCCGGCGCACCTTTCCGCAGAGTCCATTAACTCACCTTGATACACTGACACTGCCGGATCTCTGGGGACCTGTGCAAGCAGTCCCTCTCTCCTATCTGGCTCCTATAAATACTCAACGCCTCTACTGAGAAAAGGAGGGCCAAACTTCTGGTAAAAGGCATACTAGTCTTCTCTATACTTATTACTCTTTTACGCCCGAACTGACTTAAGATTCGGAGTTACACCGGGGACTTTAGTCCCTCTTACAATTCTAGCAGGAGACCTCGTCTGAGATAACCACCCAGGATAAGAGACCTTCTCCAGCTCGGGTGACTCACTCCAGCAGGACAAAAACGACCTCTTCAGCCAGCATTGCGGCCTTTATCCTCCACCACCACCACCGACGCCTCCGCTACTACTACCAACACCAACGGGCTTTCTCCAAGACAGACAGTCTTCACCTTTTCTCACCCAACGCCACTCCTTTCGACAGCACCACCACAACAAAACCCACTTCCGGGAACACCTCTGCCGCCACAGCTGCCCCACCACACTCCTTCCACTAACAGCTCAGAATTTCTCTACCTGGGAGCTCTAGTAAGCTCCAGAGATGTAAAAAAATGAGGCATCTAATGTTCCTCAGAGCTCAGAAGATCACCATAATACTGTCCCTTCAGCTTTAGTTTTAGCTTCACTTCAGTATCAACGGCTAGGCTCGCCGGAGCTCCAACCGTTGCCGCCGCTGCCACGTCAATAGCAGCAGCACCACCATTTCCACCAAGACTACAGAAATGGTGCTGCAAACAACATGGGTTCCGACGAGGATGATGAATTCTTCTCCCAAAGAAGGTCCACTGGGGAAAAGTATTGTCCTGTCCACAGCGGATCAAGTGAACATCTCCCTAGCCCAAGTTCAAATTCACTTCTGTTCCATTTTGGAGCAATTTCTGCAGCAAGTTCAACTCCAGTAGAACCACCTCTGACAATCAAAACGGAACAAATTCTAAAGTAGAAGTGAAAACGATGTGCACTGCAAGTGAAGACTCTACGTGTTTCAGTGCGCTATCGTTTTCTTCTTCTTTTATTTTAGTCCTTGGATTTTTACTTTATTATGCTATTAGTCCTTAAATTTAATAGTTAGCATTAGAATAGCACTTGAAATTTTTTTGCGCTTTTTTCATACAGTTGTGGCCAGACACGTGGCTTTTTCTGGTAGCAATTTGGGAAAAAATCGTTCAGGGTATTTAATGTGCTCAAAATTTGAAAATTCGGGTACCAAATTTGTTTTCGTCCAAAATTTGGGGACTAAAACTGCTCGTGCATCAAAGTTTGGGTACCAAAACTACATTTTTCTCATATGGCAAATCTTGTGCTCTGTTTGGATCCCCTATTTTTGGGGTATTTTTCAAAAATTAATTTTTTAAATACAATAAAAATTTTTAAAAAGTACTCTAAAAGGTAATCTAAAAATTAGTTTAAATTTTTTTAAAATTTTAAGAAATATCTCAAAATATGTTCTAAAAACTCTTGTACTCTTAAATATTCTAAAATATTTTTTAAAAATATATCAAAATATACTCTAAAAACTCTGCTACAGCAAAGTTTTTCAAAAACACCCCCAAAAATAACTAATTCAAATGGAGCCTTGAGTTTTAAGTTTCATGCAAAAGCAACTCAACACATCGGTCCTTCCTCCGCTGCGTCGCCTATCACTGCTGCTGCTGCTGCTGCTCCATTTTCTCTAAATTTTTTTGGGGTACAATTGTTGCAGTTGCTGTACTTTACCAATACCTTTGGTTTTTGTTTTAATAGTTCAATTTATAGTTACACCATTAATCTGCCATTTAATCGTATCCATCCCATCTGCTCATTTCTTTTCATATATTAATTGTCATCTACTATTATTTTTATCTCATCCCTTCATAGGTCCTTCCGTGCAATTTCGCGGCTACATCGATCGCTACCGTACTTTTTTTGCATGCAAGTCCCTCAGCTCGTCATATCGTTGATTATTTTATTCATTTTTTGGAAATATCATCTACTTTTCTTGTGCATGACAGTGCCATGTTCATTCTTGTACGCGATAGTTTGCTGCCACTTTTGCTTCCGGATTTTTACCTCTTCTCACCCAAACTCCCGAGCCCACCAGATAGTCTCAAATTCTGGGAATTTCAAGTCAAGACTGCATAAAGTGTCAGCCTATCATCCGCTTTTTATTCCATGGGGAATTTCCCCGCCATAGAGGCTTCCTATAAGAGGTACTAAAATTGATTTCACGCACGTATATATATACTAGGCATTGTGCCCCGCGAGTTTCGCGGGGTGCCCATTATTGATTATTTAAGGGTGATGTAAGATTTATTTAATAATTAATGTTTAGAGTGTTTTATATGATAGTAGGGTTGGACTAATAAATAGAGGAACAATATATTGGATTAATATATTTATAAATAGATATAGTAATATTGTTGTGATTTGTATTTAATTTTTTAAGAGTAACAGGATGTAAATATTATTTAAATTAATGGAATGTAAATCATTTTTTAAGAGTTGAGATAAATTAATAATTCGAAATAATTTCAATATGTTTATTTTTATATTGTTAAATATAAGTGGAAGTAGAATAAAGAAAATTTAGGGAACAGATAATTGCTATGTGCAAGAAGCTGTAGTGGTCATGTTTAATTATGATTGTTGGATAAAGTCTGTGCTAAAGAGCTGCAGATGATAATTGTTTTCATTGAGTAGGGTGAACAGGATGACACTTCCTTCATGTAAGAAGTGTTTTTGTGCGAATATTGGCCAACCTTCTGTTATTTCTATTCCTTCTAGCTGAAAGATCCATCGAGTTTTAGCATGATAGCAATTGATGACTCCTATGTTGTCTGTTTGTATATGCTAGGGTATATCACCAATGAGTACCTGAGATAGAAAATAGGAAAAAAACGTAGTTGTATTATGAAATGAGAGTAGCAATGTAGTGCATGAATTATATTGATTGGAATGTAATTTGTATGAAACTCACCAAAGATTCAAGATCGTGTGTTAGATAGTGGAAGAGTTTAGTATTGTAAAACTAAAAGAAAAGAAATATAGTGAAGAATACAAATTCATAAATATAATATATACAAATTAAGGATTTTTAACAATTTGAAATTATAAATTTAGAATCATATATTTGTATTTATTGATCGAATAATTGTTTTTTGAATCAATAAATATTGGATTGATTTAATTTTAAGTTTATATATATTAGATACATGTCAAGTACATATGATTTTCATTCATTTGTATTAATACGAAATAGCATAATCAATTTATATATATTGACTGGATACACATAGAATTTGTATTCATTTGCATATATTAGGTGCACGTAGGATTTTTAGTATTGAAAAACTAAAAGAAAAGAAATATAGTGAAGAATACAAATTCATATATATAATATATACAAATTAAGGATTTTTAACAATTTGAAATTATAAATTTAGAATCATATATTTGTATTTATTGATCGAATAATTGTTTTTTGAATCAATAAATATTGGATTGATTTAATTTTAAGTTTATATATATTAGATACATGTCAAGTACATATGATTTTCATTCATTTGTATTAATACGAAATAGCATAATCAATTTATATATATTGACTGGATACACATAGAATTTGTATTCATTTGCATATATTAGGTGCACGTAGGATTTTTAGTATTGAAAAACTAAAAGAAAAGAAATATAGTGAAGAATACAAATTCATAAATATAATATATACAAATTAAGGATTTTTAACAATTTGAAATTATAAATTTAGAATCATATATTTGTATTTATTGATCGAATAATTGTTTTTTGAATCAATAAATATTGGATTGATTTAATTTTAAGTTTATATATATTAGATACATGTCAAGTACATATGATTTTCATTCATTTGTATTAATACGAAATAGCATAATCAATTTATATATATTGACTGGATACACATAGAATTTGTATTCATTTGCATATATTAGGTGCACGTAGGATTTTTAGCGATTTGCATATTTTTTTCATATTTAATATTTTTGCTAATATATACATTTTGGAGAAAATTAATTAAATTTATATATATTAGATACATGTTAAGTACATACATATGATTTTCATTGATTTGTATTAATACGAAACAGTATAATTGATTTATATATACTGATTGGATACACATAGAATTTTTATTCATCTGCATATATTAGATGTACGTAGGATTTTAGGAATTTGCATATTTTCTCATATTTAATATTTTTTCTAATATATATATTTTGGAGAAAATTAATAAATAAGCGAATAGATATAAAAAGAAGGCTATTTTATGTATTAGATGTGCATAGCATTTTTAGTGATTTGCGTAATTTTTTAACTGTTAATATTTTTGTCAATATACACACTTTTGACAAAATTAATAAATAAGTGTGTTAATAAATAAGCGGATAAATATAAAGAAGGAGGGAAAATTATAAATATAGAAATAGTCTCGAAATTATAATTATTTGATATAAATAACACTTATTATATGTTAATACAAGGTAGTATTATTAATTTATTTATATTAGATATACGTTAAACACATATAATTTTCATTGATCTGCATTAATATAAAACAGGATAATCGATTTATATCTATTGATTAGATACATATAGAATTTTTATTCGTTAGTATGTATTAGATATACATAGGATTTTTAGTGACCTGCGTAATTTTTTGATAGTTAATATTTTTCTCAATACACACACTTTTGACAAAGTTAATAAATAAGTGAGTTAATAAATAAGTGGATAAATATAAAGAAGGATGGAAAATTATAAACATAGAAATAGTGTCGAAATTATAATTATTTCACATAAATAACACATATTATATGTTAATACAAAGTAGTATTATTAATTTATATATATTAGATGCATGCTAAACATATATGATTTTCATTGATCTGCATTAATACAAAACATCATAATCGATTTATATATATTGATTAATATGTTTGTGTATATAGCAACCTACATGTTTTTTTGATATTTAATATGTTTGTTAATATACACATTTTAGAGATGCACGTAGGATTTTTAACGATTTGCATATTTTTTTCATATTTAATATTTTTGCTAATATATATATATTTTGGAGAAAATTAATTAAATTTATATACATTAGATACATATTAAGTACATACGATTTTCATTGATTTGTATTAATACGAAACAGTATAATTGATTTATATATACTGATTGGATACACATAGAATTTTTATTCATTTGCATATATTAGATGTACGTAGGATTTTTAGGAATTTGCATTTTTTTCATATTTAATATTTTTGCTAATGTATATATTTTGGAGAAAATTAATAAATAAGCGAATAAACATAAAAAGAAGGCTATTTTATGTATTAGATGTGCATAGGATTTTTAGTGATTTGCGTATTTTTTTAATAGTTAATATTTTTGTCAATATACACACTTTCGACAAAATTAATAAATAAGCGAGTTAATAAATAAGCGGATAAATATAAAGAAGGAGAGAAAATTATAAATATAGAAATAGTCTCTAAATTATAATTATTTGATATAAATAACACTTATTATATGTTAATACAAGGCAGTATTATTAATTTATATATATTAGATATAGGTTAAACACATATAATTTTCATTGATCTGCATTAATACAAAATAGCATAATCGATTTATATATATTGATTAGATACATATAGAATTTTTATTCGTTAGTATGTATTAGATATATATAGGATTTTCAATCAGAACGACTTTAATTATCCACTCACTTGATTTATTTGTCAAACTATTCACAGGAGTGCATTTGTCATCCATGCCTGCAATATAGAACATCAAAAGTATATTAATATGGATGGAATGATGCAAATATATAAGATGCTGAATATAAGCACTTTTAATTGAAAACTTTTAAGTTCAGTACTTAATCTTCAGCTGCAGCTGCTAAAATTTCTTGATACACTACATTTCGAGTACAATTACTGGACAAAGAATCAGAAGCAATGCGTCTGAGTAAAATTTTAACATCATTAGCAGTTCTGGCCCTTGATAATGCAACATATAATTGGCCATGTGAAAATACTGGTTCTTTCAAATATAATCCTACAAAATCAAGTGTTTGTCCCTGTGATTTATTAATTGTCATGGCAAAACATAATGAAATTGGGAACTGAGTACGCTTGAAAGGTATTGGATATGACTCATCATTAGAACTGTGCAATGGAATGCGAGGAATGAAAACCTGTTTACCAGAATGAATTCCAACCGAAATCTGTGCATGTATGATGTTTTTGTTAAAATTTAAGCATATCATGGGGGTTCCATTGCATAGTCCTTGTGCTGGATTCAGATTTCTTAGGAGAATAACTGGGCAATTTGGTTTCAAAATCAACAAATGCGGAGGTAATCCTGGGGGGTGGATAGTATTTAAGAAGTCACCGTGATCAGCTTGTTTTGTTGGATCTATTGTCTCATCGAAGCTGATATATTTGATTTCTTCTCCAGGGAACTTCTGAATCAAAATTTGATTGATTTCGCGCACAATATCATTTGTTGTACTGAGAATGGCTCTGTTAATGAGAGTTGAATTATGAGGGCAAAAGCTAGATAGAGATGGATAAACAGTGTCTATCAAAATGTGCAAGGATTGTTGATCATCGTTAATGAAAGAGACAATTATAGAAGAAGGCAATTGTATCTTGTCATCTGCAATGGTTGCTTGTGTGCCATTTCCAATATTGAGCAGAAAATCTGAGAATGATGGATCGAGAATTGCTCTCATATTTTCAGTCAATCGAATCTTTTGGAGGTGTGGCCAAATATATGAGTTGATGAGAGATGCAGAAATGTAATCTTCTCTTTGATCTTTGTGGACGATTGGTAAAGTCTGTTGAAAATTTCCACCGAAAACAATGAGTTTTCCACCAAATATTTGATCAGAATTCAGCAAATCTCTAAGTACTCTGTCAAAGGATTCAATTGCATATTTTTTTGCCATTGTTGCTTTATCCCATATTATTAATGATAATGTAGGTTATAATTTTAGAGAAAAGTTTTTTTTTTAAAATTTTGGTTTTTAGTTGTATATTTTTGAATTTTTTAGTTTTTGAAATATTATTGAAGTGATATTTTTGGAATAGAGTAAATGGAAGGTAATGGAAAGTGGTACAATTTATTTGTATTTATTAGATAGTTATGAATTTTTTGTTGATAAGTATTTTATGGCGGTTGTATTTGTGTTATGCTATTTAATTTAAAAATGGAAGAAGTTTAAGTTGATAATTGGGTTATTAACGAATATTATTGAAGGAGTATTTTTGAAATAGAGAGGAATTATGTTATATTTTGAAAAATAATTGGTTGCAGTAAAATATATTTTGGAAAAAGTGGAGATATGTAAAATGGGTGATAAATAGGATATAAAAATATATTTATATGTTTTTGTAGTCAAAATAATTTTGTGTTTGTATTATAGAATTAAAGTTGTGTTTCTAGAGAATAAATATTTTTGTTAATATATATATTGTGGAAGATAAATCGTATATAAAGGGTATAGAATTAATTATAACTTTTTTTTGAATGTATGTGTATTGTGTTATTCAATTTTGAAGTGGAAAAGATTTAAGTTAATTGTTTAGTAGTTAATATATATTATAGAAATAAGATTTTTGGAATAGAAAGAAGCTATTGGATATTTTTAGAAAATGGTTAGTCGAATGAATGGAAGTTAAAGATAGATTTGAATAATTGATTTATATTTATTGGATGTGTATGAAGTTTTTGTTGATATATATATTTTGGAGAAAATTAATTTTTTTTATATATATTTTTTTGGGTGAAAAAATATACGTTATGATTGTTTAATGCTGTGTATATTATGTATATTTTTGTTTATATATGCGAAGGATTTTTTTTACAAAATCAATATGTTTGTTAATATATATATTTTGAGTAATTAATTTATTGATTAATGAATATCATAATAAATATAAAAGAGAAGAGAGAATTATAGTTTGAAGAAAGAAAATATATATATTTTGGAGAAAATTAATTTTTTTTATATATTTTTTTTGGGTGAAAAAATATACGTTATGATTGTTTAATGCTGTGTATATTATGTATATTTTTGTTTATATATGCGAAGGATTTTTTTTACAAAATCAATATGTTTGTTAATATATATATTTTGAGTAATTAATTTATTGATTAATGAATATCATAATAAATATAAAAGAGAAGAGAGAATTATAGTTTGAAGAAAGAAATGCTAATACAAAGTTAAAATTGAAGGAAGTTATATGTGAAAGAAAGTTAATAAATAAAAACGATAAGCTAACATTTTCGTGAATAAAGCTAGCGATAACAATTACATACAGCAACGGAAAATGAAGGAGAAAGAAAAGGACAAAGTTGGGGACAAAAGCTAACATTTGTGAATAAAGTCAGGCATAACAACTGCAGCAGCGGAAGATGGAGGAGAAACAAAAGGACAAAATTGGGGACAAAATTACAAACGAACCAAGGGAAGGGCAGAATGGGAACAAAGCAACAAAAAAAGCAATGAGGACAAGCGGAAGAAGAAGCAAGGGCGCTGCATGAAGCCCACGAAAAGACCAAAAAGGACGAAATTGGCTGCAAAATCACAGTGAAACCGGCACAATTAACTGTAGCTCAGCCTTCGCGGCTTTATGTAGTTTAAGATAAGATAAGATATATGACTAGGGGGTGAGTAGGGTTGCAAACGAATCGAGCCGCTCGCGAGCGGCTCGAGTCAAGCTCGAGTCGGCTCGAGTCAAACTCGAGCTCGAACTCGAGCTCAGAATATTAAGCTCGTTAGCTTGAGTATATATATATAATTTTTTATTTTTATTTTTATTTAATAATAAAATTACGTATATTATATATATATATATTTTTTTTTATTTTTTATTTTCATAGTAAAATTACGTATATATCCTTAATATTTTATTATTTATTAAGAAAAAAATATTATTTTATTTATTTTTTAAAAAATAAAATAATTATTTTTATTTTTTTCGAACTCGAGCTCGAGTTCGAGCTCGACTCGAGCTCGGCTCAACTTGATTCGAGTCGAGCTCGAGCTCGAGCTCGAGCTTGGTAAAATTTAGTCGAGGCTCGGCTCGATTAGCTCAAAACTCGACTCGGCTCGGCTCGTTTGCAGCCCTAGGGGTGAAACCCCGCGTTTGACGCGGGGTGCCCCTATTAGGGGTTATTGGTTGTATTTTTTTTTTTGTATATGTCTATGAATTATTTTTGTTTATTGTGGTCGTTCATTATAAATTTTATATAATTTAATAGAAGCAGTGTTGATTTTTGCGTTATTTTCTGCTGAATTTTTATTAGTTTGGGTGGTTATTTTTATGGTTGGGTTTGTTGGTTTGGTGTGCATTTAATTAAGTAGTGTATATTTGTTGGAAATTAATTTTTTTTTGTATTGTGTATTCAGCGTGAAGTTTGTAAAATATTTTGTTAGAATTGTGTTTGTTATTTTTTCTTTGTTAAATGTAGTGGTAATTATAATGTATATAATATTTTTTTTGTCTTGGTTATATGTAAATAGGTTTTTGGTTGCTTCGAAAATGTTACTGTTTATCTTATGATAAACAATGTCGTTGTTTGTTTTTTTGGATGGACTTGGAAGTGTTTGTTTTTGAGCTCTAAGTTTGTGTGGTAGGTATCCGAAGTTGCAGTATCAAATGATTGATCAATGGAATTATTGGTTTCTTGTTTGTTTTGGTTTTGATTTGTAATTTTAATGGTTTTGTTTGTACATTTTATTGAATGTTTGTATTATATATTTAATGGCTTTGGTGATTGATATATACTATATTATGAAGATAATAAGATTATTGAAATTTGTGATTTACAATTAACATAATGTGATCTAAGTATATGAACAGGTTTTTCATGAGCAAGTTCTAAATTCTTCAATGAGATTGGGAGTAAAGATTTGTATATACTAGCTATTGTCGTCTAGAAGTGTAAATAATATTTAGTTTCCTTCTCCTAGAAAATGTTTGTCAGTAAATGTAGCCCATAATTCAACCACCTGTAAGTGTTGCTTTCACATATTTAATTTATGTTAAATACAAAATCTACCAGTTTCTCTTTTGTAAAAATATTAGTGTAACATTTCTTGAATTTTACTTACAAATATTTACGTATTTAATATAAATTAAATGATTCAAAGTAAAATGCCCATAAATAGCTAGTATTTTGTTTATGTAATGGAGGAAACCGATAAAGAGCCGGTATGCTATCGACAATTTCTTTGTTTTACTTTCACATATTTAATTTATATTAAATACAAAATCTATCAGTTTTCCTTTCGTAAAATATTAGTGTAACACTTTTTCAATTTTAGTTATAAACATTTATGTATTTTACATAAATTAAATGATTCAGACTAAAATGCCCATAAATAGCTAGTATTTTGTTCATGGAATGCAAAAAACCCATAAAGAGTTGGTATGTTATGGGCAATATATTTTTTTACTTTCACATATTTAATTTATCTTAAATGCAAAATCTACCAGTTTCTTTTCGTAAAAATATTAGTGTAACACTTTTTTAATTTTAGTTACAAATATTTATATATTTAACAGAAATTAAATGATTCACAGTAAAATACCCTAAAAGAGCCGATACTTTGTTCATGTAATGGAAGAAAATCATAAAGAGTTAATACTTTATGGACCATTTCTTTTTTAAAAAATATTTAATTTATATTAAATAGATAACCTACCAGTTACTTTTTGTAAGAATATTACTGTAACACTTTTAACTTTTACTTACAAACATTGATGTATTTATCATAAATTAAATATTTGAAAGTATAATGCCCACAAAAGAACACGAAATTTCTACGGTTTTCACAGGAGGAAGATGGAGCAAAGGATAGAAGAAAGATCACAGAACACCGCTAGTTAGCATCACGAAGACAATGGGATGGAAACCTCGTCAAATATACAAATCGAAACGATAGAAAAACTCAACAAATACATTAAAAATGATCAATGGCCAACAACAAGATAGATGATGAGCAGACTTCACATGAACATTTAATGCACATGACATAGCTGAAATCCCAATTGCAGTATTAGCTGAACAAAGAGCTCAAGACAGGTGGATGTGCATGCAAAACAGACGCGCCATGCATGCTTTGTATCCCGTCAACCACTATACTATAAAAAGCCGCTTAGTTGCTAAAAGAAACAGTGAAACACCCACATGAACAAATGCGGAGATGGTTAAAAAATGGAGTAAAATCGACGGCAGGCAAATAAGCACAAAGAAAACACTGGGTTTAAAGCCACCGGCAGAATTGCGGGAACCAAAATGATCAGAACAAAAAAAAAACACTTGGTTTAAGGGCACCGACGAAATTGTGGGGAGCAAAATGATGAGACAAACATGGGATCTTATGACTTTCAAAGCGATAAAAAGACGAACATGTCCAAAATTGAACCGCAAATAACAAGATAACCAAGATAAAAGGACAAGATAGTCCAAAAGAAAGTTAGCAAATGAAAATGAACAGCGGAAGAATTGTCCTCATGCAACTCGGCAGCTCCCAAAAGACCATGAAGGACAAAATGAGCAATGAAATCACAATATAACCGACACAATCAATTGGGATGCAGCGTTCATCGCCCTTCCATGCTTTATGTATAGTAGAGATAGAGATACGGGGACTCAAAAGGTTACAATTTGTATGGGTAGTGGGTACTGTTCAATATTAGATTTTTTAAGCATCATTTGCAATTTGCCAGCATGAGAGCTTGGCATAGGTGATCCTGTAAACATCCCGCCACATGAAAGCTAGCTGCCCATCATAATCATGCAGTTCTAGTTCTTTTTTTAATTCTTTTTCTATTTTTCAGCCGGAATTGTAGTACCGTCATGTGACGATGATAGTCCTACGCCTCTGTTTCCATGATTGGTAGGTTGTGATTAGCGCAAGCTATTGCACTGGCT